ATAGACTGCTGAACACTATTCTTTCCAGTGAACATGTGAGGTGGGTTGAGGATACTCCTATCACATCATACTCCTATCACATCCATTTCCTATCACATCCATTTCTAAAGACAAAATAATCACAAAACAGGCTTACTCCCAGAAATTATCTACATTTACCATCATTTCTTTAATTGGAACCAGATGCCTTGGGGTAAGGCCATTTGGGGTAAATTCCTAACTCCCTCTATGTCCTTTTTTTTGCTGGAGACTCTAGCATTCCTTACTGCCTATAAATGATATTTTAAAGACGAAAGGGCTGAGGGGAGGACCTTCAATCTGCCCATTTTGCTGTGCTGCTGAAGAAACCGTAGATCAACTATTTTTTCATGTGCCCTCTCACAAGAAATTTGGTCAGGTTTAATCAAGCTCTTGAATATTAATAGTCAAAATTTAAGCTGGCTTAAATTTTCTATTAGCTGGGAAGATTGGCATAACAATAATCTTTGGGTGATACCATGTATTGTGGCTTGGTTTATATGGATGTACAGAAACCACAGAAAATTTGATGAGAAGTTTTCAAGGTCAAAATCTGTGAATCTTAATTGTATCTCTTATATTCAGAAATTGATCAAGTTTCATCACTTCCCTAATGTTATAAAGCACTGGACTCCAGGAAACAATACTCCTCTCCTTCAGTCTTTCAAACTAATCCTTTGGAGTCCTCCCCCAACTGGTTGGTTGAAGGTCAATACTGATGGCAATTTCTCAAATGGTTGTGCTGGTATTGGGGGAATCTTCAGGAACTCTCATGGTTCTTCCATTCTTTATTTCACTGCTCCTGCTGTGGCAATGGATGCTCTTGAGGCAGAATTCATAGCTGTCTACTGGGCCATCAGAATTGCTTGTTACTGCTACATGGGTCCTTCGATCATAGAAACAGATTCTACTAATTGCATTAAAATCCTCCTTCATGATGAAGCCCCTCCTTGGAATATAATCAGATGGAACAATTTGTTATTAGCCCTACTACCCAGATACAAGATCAATATCAATTATATTCCTAGAGAGGGTAATTGTCCTGGTCATTGGCTTGCCTCCCAGGGTAGAAATACTGAACATACCTTTGTTGGGCTGACTCTTACACCTGAATTAAAATTCCTACTAAATGGTGACAATTTGGCACTCCCCTATATCAAATGTATGTAACTGCTATGGGAGGTAGAACCTTGAGGGAAGGTATTGAGTTACCTAATCCCCATTTGGTTCCTTAATTAACATGTAAGGAGCCTTAGTTGCTCTTTTCTCAAAAAAAAAAAAAGAAATATGATTGATCGATGTCAGCTAGTAGGATCGACAAATGCCACTAAAGAAACTATGTTTACTACATTAATCTCTTAACTTTAAAGCTAAATTCACAAAAAAAAAAAATTAACCTTGGTTTTGTGATGAATAGTTCAAATTTAAGAAAGCATCATTCACCTTACAATGAGATTATAGTCATTGAATTATCAAATTGAAGAAAATTGTATTTTTCCAAATAGAAGGAATTATATTCTTTATCCTTTTTACAATAGATAAAGAACAATAGCTAATCGAGTGTTTAGTCCCTAAATCTGCGGTTATGCTGGGAAGATACTGGCTCTGACCTTAGAGTTCTCGCATTTCTCTCGCATGATGGCTAACATCTCGCTTTAGTTTTTAAAATCCTGAACCACAATGAGGATTTTAGTTTGTCACCCTAAAATCTCTAAGTCTACGCCCATCAATGAATATTTCCATATTTATTTGCAGTCAACCCCATGAACAACATTTTCATCCATGAATTTGAATGTGATTTTCACTTTGTTGTAGAAAGCATAGTCCTCTCGGATCGTATGTTTCATAACAAACTTTAACAATTCAGTTGGCCAGATCGAAAAGTAAATGAAGTTAGAAGTTTTACTCATCACAATTATGAAATTAAAATATTGTACAACAATATTGATTCTTCACATGACAATTTCTCTTTGTAGGGAGAAGGACAAAGAAATCTACTCAGAATTCATGAGGAAGATACAACAAAATTCGGATTTGATATATAAAAAGTTTACAAAATAAGAAAGAAAAGTAAAACAACTTAACTCGATCTCTTCCCCAAGTAAATCCTTAGATGTTCCTTTGAATCTCCTTCTCTCTTCACAATAACACTCAAATCTCAGTTAGAAATATAAGGAAGAAGAAATCTCTCACGTTCTCTCCCCTCTTTCAACTCTTAGAGGCACTTACCACACTCTCCCACACTTTGATACTCACTCCCCCCTCACACACACTACTTTTCCTGACATAAAAACACTCTTTTATAATATAGGGATGAATTTTCCAAGGGTCTCCATGGGCACATCTTTAAAATCCGTCCAAATTCATTGCATTTGTGAAAATAACCATCTCTGGCACCTTAGCTATTAAATTATGCTCACTAAAGCTTCTAAGATAAAAAAGAAAAATCAAATATAATTTAGGGATGACCTAAGTATAGGGTCCGAAGTTTTGAGAATATTTGATATTAAATCCAAATTTCAAGATTTAACTGAAAAAAAAATAAAGGCTTTGAATTAATTTGGTGATCAATTGATTTCAGATTAAAATTATATTACTATGCTAACTCTTTAGAGATCATAAGACTGCATTTATAATTGTCTATTTTTCCACATCATGATATATATTTAAGAAAAATATAAATCACATTAATTGAACTATATAATTAAATGTATAGGTTGCAAAAATTATATATTAAGCAATTGAAATTCAAACTTTATGAAATTTAAATCATAGCCTTTTAGTGACCTATATAGCCATAGTTTAAAAATTGCACCACAACTTTCGCTCAAAATGAAGCCCTTCCCCAACAAAAAAATATTACCTCAGGAGTACTGATGTATCAGTACTCCAATGAGGGAGTGCCACGTAGGCACTACGGTGGGACCATTGTCTACGTGGCACCTTCTCATTGGAGTACTGATACATCAGTACTCCTGAGGTAATATTTTTTCCTTCCCCCAAAGCAAACCAAATCAACTAATGCCGTTTGTTTAAGATAGATGGAATTAATTCAAAACTGGAAAATAATTTTTGTCCAGATATATAGGCGTGTCGGATAAGCATTATTGGTTGAATATTATAATTAGCTTATAAAATGCTGTTATTATAAATCCACGTGATAATAATATTTATTGCACATTATCCATCATCTAGCAGACAAAGCAACGGCTGAAAGACAACAACTTTCCACCTCGCCCCAATAAATTTGCGTGATGGATGATTTTTTCAAATTACCCCCAGACAATTTAAATAATAAGAAAATAGTCCCTTTAACCACATGAAGCGATTGTGCCATTTTTTTATCACGCTTCACGTGATCACGGCCGTACAATTCTGCACTCCCACATCAAATCTCGCGACACCGTGTTTCGGTGGTTCTGCGCGATCTTCCGCCGTCGGTTCCGTGGTCCTTATGGCGCGAAACCAAAGAGACGTAAGTCAAATAAGCTTCACTCGCCGGTAGGTTTAAGGAAATCAATAAGAAAGCTGATATGTAAATATACGCAATTAAATTCAATATTTGATAAGTTATTTATTAATAAATATAAATGTTATGATCCCTTGGATTTACATGTACTAAATTATTTTATATGCTAATTAAAATATTCAACTAAATAAAGCTTATTTGACTAGCCTATGCTTAGGGACAAAAAATGTTTTCTGCTTTTGGATTAATTCCATTCCACCTCTTAAACGCTCTTTGGTTATTTGGTTTGCATTGTGAATAGCTTCTGTTTAAGCTTAGTGCTGGCGCAATTTTCAAACTATGGAATGCTCTATTGGTCATTAAAAGCCTCTGAATAAATTTCATAAAGTTTGGATTTCAATAGCTAATGATATAATTTTTCTAACCTCAAATAACTATTATTTATGTCAAATAAATTCGAACACTTTCAAAAATACTTCATTAATAAATAAATAAATTTAAAAATTATTATTTGATTAATTTATATTTATTTATATAGAGTATTGTTTAAAATTCTAAAACATAATAAGCTTGATTACGACCAAATCACACTGATTGAATAATAACATTTAAATACCTTTTTTGAGGCTTAATAAACCCTACTAGATACGACTAATTTATTTTTAAAAACAGACTACTCTATAAAGCTCTAGTAAAGCATGAGTAATATTTGAAAAGTACCAACTTACTTTATTGAATGAGTTACTCACTGAAAAGCTCAATAACCCATATATAAATGTTAAGTGTTCCCAAGTTTAAACATAAATCTAAGATTTTAATTTTAATATATATTCATTAAATACCCAAATTGTTAATATCATCAAAAAAATTTTATTAGAATTTAATTATTTAAATTAAAACACCACCTTTAATACAATCATTCAATGTATTTATACATAAAAGTATTCAATGCATTTAGTTGTTATAGATAGAAATGCACAAAAATTATTAGATATTGATGTAATCTCTTAAATATCGAAGGCCAAATTTATAATTAGACGGTATCATCAGTTAATTTAGTTAAGTTTACTATCATATTTAAAGTTAGATTTTAATAAATAAATATTTTAAAAATTTTTGTTGGTCAAATTGGATCAAATTATGACTCATTAATGCTCTCACTAAAGGAATATGACAAGTCAAACAGTCAAATTTGACCCAATTTAATTATATTCATTAATTTTATTTTTTATAAAAAAAACTAAAGCTAATAGTAAAATAAAACAAAAAAAATAATTTAATTCACTTTTTTAGAAAAGAAAAATTCGTTTCTTAATTTTACTGATGTGACTCAAATTCGTGCTCATCGCAGCCCCATAGACCCGAACAGCCCACAGGATTCCATCACCTTACCGCTGTGGCAGAAGGTGACCGTATCACCAGCCTAATTCACTTTCCGCAAATTATCCGGCTCTCCTCGGGTATAAAATGGACCCTTACCAAGCCTTCTTCCGATATTTCAGTTCGCCGCCGAGTTTCTCTACTCGCCGGAGATATCATTCTCGCGCCCTAAAACAGAACACAGTCTCTCTGAACGAGATAGATTCCCAACTTGCGATCGTTCGATGGAGACGGAGAAGGAAACGGCAATGTGGAGATTTCGCAGACTCCTGCATATCGGACGGCTTCTCCGCTTCCTCGAGCTCGCAGGAGCTATTTTCGTACTCTCCTACTCATATTCCTACATTCCGCCGATCGCTAGGAACTCCAGCGCAGTCCTCCGCGGCGCCGTTGTTGTTCTTATCAGCCCTACCTTTGTATTCCTCTTCGGAAACGCCATTGTTCTCGTCCTCTTCGCCAAATCTGGCCAAATCACCTCCACAGCTGAAGCCCCGTCCGCTCTCTCCGACGTGGATGGATCTGATGAAATATCCTCTAATCTGACTTACTCTACGCCGCCTCATTTGAGGGAGGATGAGGAGGTCGTGTACGAGGACAAGGAGGTGTGCGTCGAGATTCGTGTATGCACGCAGAGCCGGTCGGAGGAGTTTGAGAGGACAAAGGAGGAGCCAAAGATCCGGGAATCGAAAACGGAGGTAAGTTGTGACGCTGAAAAGTTCTCGCCTCCGCCGCTGTCGCCGCCTGCGGCTGAAGATAGAGCTGCTGCGGAGGCAGAGGAGGATGCGGAGCGGTTTCGACGGACGGTAGAAGAGTTCATTGCAAAGCAACAGTGGTTTCAGAGGCAGGAGTCGCTGTCCCACATCTCCTACTCCGCGGGATTACCCGAACCTGTGGCTGTGTAAATATAAAAGTGATAAAAATAATTTGTTTTTTGGATGAGATTTCTTTGGACTTTTTCGCACTTTTTTTTTAAATTTATCAAGATTAACTTCAGTTCTCTGTCCCAAAATTGCTCCTGTTCTCTAGGTTTTGGTAGCTGAAGTCCATTTATCTTGCCTAATTTTTTTCTTTTCCAATAATCCCTTTTTTTTTTAAGACTATTACAAGACTCCTTTAGTAACTTCATATAAAGTAGTAATTGAGTTCTTATTTTCTAACTGATTTTTGAAATAAGAATTACATTATACATTTTTGTTTGAGAATAATTTTTTAAAAGTATTAAATTTTTTTTTTTTGTCAATTAATTCACACAAATTTCGTAAGAGTTAGTGATGAAGAGCGAGTGGGCCAATTTTTTTTTATTTCCTTGCAATAACTTTCTATTTTGACATAAATTTTACTTTAAAAAAATTACTTTCTTAAACCACTTTTTATTCTCTTTCTGAAAAATAATACAAGACTAATTTCTTTTCTTGAATACATGATTTGTATTTTTAAATTAAAAAAATTATGCACTGTAAATAAACTAACATTTAATATGAGGATTTCGAGATTCATGTGAATCACATCCCCATGTACATAACGGATTTCATTTATTCAGCTGCAGAACTGTACAAATGGATATTTGTATATATCCTTGCATATAGATATGTATTCTTCGATCTTAATTTATCCTTTACAAACATGCCCAGTGAGTTTGAGTCAAGTGAATGAGAGGAGAAAAGTTGAATAAGTCTATATTTCTTTGTAGGAGGATTGAGGGAGTGTCTATTTATTTATATTTTTGTTCAATACTTACATGCTTACAGATGTGTGTTTTGTATAATTACAAAAAGAAGATAACAATTATCGAAACTGTTCTTAATTTTATTAATGCTCTAATTAATTGTATAGATTTAATGCATATTTGCATTACAATTTCAAGGTAATTGGCTGGTCTGCTCGATTAAATTCAACCGACACTGGTGTCTCGTGAGACGTCTTTGCCCTTTAAAGTTCTTGTTAGTCAGTCGGAGTGATCGACCGCTTGGCGATTTGACTCGGTGTTTTTTTTGGCAAGGCTGATCAGAACAGTCAATTGTGAGATGGTCGTTCGGTCCCGGCAAGGGGTTGATCAGTCCAACGTGATCGATCGGTTTTTTTTTTGTTGAGAAAGTTGTGGAACACTTTTCGTTCCGCTCGAGTCTTACAGTGCACGTGTCTCGCCTACTGCGTTGTTTCGTCTTCTCTCCCAGAACTCTTAATCTTGCAAAGTCTTAGGCGGATCTTGTCGCAGCAGATACAGGATAACCTACGAGACGTACAGTCCATATATCATTTTTAAGAAGAGTATCGTAATACCCCTTAAATAAAATATTGTGCTGTTGAATCCAAAATTTTCTAGGAGACACACCTATAAGATACGATACTAAAGAAAAAGAGGAAAAGTTAAATAATAGCACATCAATGTACATTAAATTATGTAACATTTATTTATGAAATGACTATATTTATAAATATGGATCATCGTACAATCACATGTTGTACCCCTAAATATTTAGCTATGGCGAGGTTCTTTCAGTCTATTAGTAAATATGGCTTATGGGGCCCACATTTATCCTGTCGGGAGGGGTCGGGCAGCCATTAGGCCGAGCAACTAATGTGTTGGAGGGCCATTAGGCTGGGTGGCTAGAAGGTCGGGATGCCATTAAGTCGAGTGGTTACCATTATGGGTGGTTGTTAAGCTGGGTAGTTACAATGCCAGGCGACGACATGTTGGGATTGTTGACGGTTTGTTTTGCCCATTTGGTCAGTCCTAGATGGAGAGCGTCAAATTTGTCTCCATGAATTTGGTCGATTAGACTTTTTGGGAGCCAATCTCTTCTTAATTGCATTGGTGGTATTTTTCACCCGACATGTATGAGTCGGCCGACTAGGTGTGTGTTTTTGGGTAGTTTATGTAGGGCCCCACGATGTCATGTCACATTTTCAGCCGACCTCTAGAAATCTTTAAGATTCATACCGACCATTTTTACTATACATGTGCATATACATAAGAAATTCATTGTGGTTTTCCCAAAGTTTATTCAATTCAACTTGACTTATTATATTGTAGAAGAAATCTTTTTATGTTGAAAATTTTGTACTTTGATGGCTATGTTATTACACTGATTGGATCATTAGAAGTGTGGGCCTGTACCCAAGTTGATATGAGGAATGATCCCGGATTAAAAATATTGCACATGTGATGGAATGCGTTAGTATAACTGTACAAAGTAAAGAATCCGTCCCATTTGAGCACTCCTCATGCACAAATAATAAATAAATATATTAGACATAATAAACTTGTTTAAAATTTATTTAAAAAAATTCTTAAATTAAGGTTAAAAATCTTTTTGAACTTTTGATTTTCATAAATATTTATAAAAATAATTGTGCACTCAAAACAAATTTGTTTAAAAGTTGAAAAAATTTGCACTTAAATTGTTGAAGGCGTTTGGTGTGAAGAATTTCCCAGGCCCGTATGAGAGATGATCCAAATTTAGAAACATCTTACTTAATTCTCTTAATAAAACTTTGAAAATTTTCTGAAAAAGGTTATTTAATTTTGATTTTTGATATATTTAAGTTTGAAAAATAACACGCGAAACAAATTCGTAATATGTTTATTAAAATAATGAAGCATTTCTCATAGGGGGTGTAACAATGCCCTTCATAAAAAGATGATTATGCCTGTTTATAAAAATCAGAGTGATTAGAAAGGAAAATGATGCAACTTTGTGTTACTTTTAGCAGAAGTTTCCTCTTCAACAAGGGCACATGGGCTACTTTGTTTTGAATAAAAAGAAAGTTTTGAAAAGGCTGGCAAGGTTAGATTGTTTTTCTAGTTTCTGTTTCCGATGTTCTATTTTTATATTTCATCCTCTGGTTTTATTTAAAAATGGCCTAAATGAACAGAACTGCTAATTTAGGTATATTAACTTGATCAAGCCTCGCTAAAGCTTCTAAATATGATAATTTTATA